TGTACTGCGTTTCTGCAAAATGCTGCGGAAATGCTTGGGTGTGAACCTAGGGTAAGCCATGTTTTTGCTAACATGTTTAGGCACGTCAAGCACTTGGCCTTTCATTTCATTGGCCAGGATATAAATTTATTCTGGCTATTGACTTCTTTGTGTCTATGGATTCACACAGCTGGTTCGGAATTGAGCCTGCATGAGTACCTCCATAGGGGGCATTTGGAGAAGTGGGGGACCCCAAAAGAAAAGGTAAGGGACTACTCTGTGCAATACCATTGCACAGAGCAGGTTAGTATAACATGTTTTACTTTATTAGAATAATCTTTACAATCACGTTAACATGCTTTTAAGAGGAACAGCCAACTATAGTAACAAATTGCTATATGCAGGTATACAGATGCTGTGTTTTCATATAGACATCATTCTATGGATGTGTAATATGAGGACAAACCTGCACAACAGAATTCTGTCCAGTCGCAGTAGGGATTCACATATCCAGTAGGGATTAAAATGTTGTATAGCTGTAGGTCGATCTAAAGGAGATTGTACAATCAAATTGTATAGTGTATGTAAACGCAATCACTAAAATTACATAAGTGTTGTAATTTCATTAAAGCAATGCCTGGTGATCCTGCCATAAAGATCCTTTCAGAGCATTTCCTGTAAAGGGTGACCTCACTGTCTCTTAATTCTGCTTGTCACACACAAGCTCACCAGCTTGTGTTCTCTATGTAGATTGTTCCATTGGTCCACTGTTGCCAGCAGGAAACCTTTCCTGACCTATGACCTGAGGCCATTGTTGGAGTGCATGCATATAGACAGAAGGTGGCTGCAGAACAAAGAATTGAATAAAGATGAAACAAGTATTCTACACAGGGTGGATCTGATTTAAATCACTAGTGAAAAGGCATGATTTAAATCATTTTAAAGAGCAACTGTCATCTCTGTCCCGCAGCGGCTCCTCCTCTGATCCGCTGTTGACTCACCGACAGTCCCATTCACTTTAATGGGACGGCTGGTGATGCTGCAGTGACACAAGGTGAGGGGTGTGGCGGCAGCAGGTGAGTGGATGCCTGTGAACAGGCGCTGCCATGATGGATCTAAAATGACAGGTGCTCTTTAAATGTAAGGAATCTGACTCATTTTTGCTGGTAGTTAGGATCTTTTAATATTTGCAAACCAAATGAAGGTTTCCTTTTTAGAATAATAAGCTGTCAGGTTAGTAAAAGCGATATCAGACCCAATTTTCGGTTAGTAGGTTAATCACACATAGCTGGAGAACGACTCAAATTCTTTTATTTCATGTTTTTTCTCATGTTTACTGTGAAATTGTGTGTGTGCATCAATGCAGTGCATGTTATCTCAGCTTGCAGAGCTTGGAATCATTGAATGAGTTTACCAAAAATGTCAATATTGCAGAATATACAGCCTCCTGCTACATAACTAAGCTCCATTTCATGCTGAATAAACTCAATTATTAATCTATCTTAAATAGAAAACTGTCTTTTAGATAGTTTTTTTTTTTTTTTTTTTTTTTTTTTTTTTTTTTTTTTTCAAAAGCATTTTAGAAATTTGATAATTTTTTTTTTTTTAAATGTATTTATTTATTTTTAATTATCAGTTTGTATCCACCCTGATTCTACAGAGAAAATACATGGCAATGGATGCAGTGCTTCAGCATATGAAATATCATCCAGTTAGGGTTCCATCTGTTGTAATGATTACCAGGTTTTTATAACTGGCTCATATCTCCTATGGAATAGAATACATTGGTAACTGTAACAAAAAATGTGTACGCTAAAGCAGAACTAAACCCTCCTCTCCTTTTACAGCCAAGGAAGCTGCCGTCTAGGCCTTCAGTACATCAGTTACAGTACACCACTGACACCAGCCATTTGATGGCTTGACAGCTCAGATGAGAGCACAAGCAACTGTGGCAGTTCTCATTCACACACGCCTTGACTTTAACTGTGAAAACAAATGAGTAGATGCGTTTAATCCACTTGAATAAATAGTGCCGTGGAGGTGCATTGCTGGCCGTGTATAACGGTGTTCATTCATGGCCGTGCCTGCAGCTGGCGTGCTGTCATTTTTCCTCAATGATCACCTGAGTGTTGTGCAATCCATTCACATACACGCTGTGCTGCACTCTGTGACCCGGACTACAGATCTGGGATCGTGTTTTACTGCTGGAAAAATAAGGAAGACGGGGCGGATCAGCTTTCAGTGTTTTTGGCTGCAGGTTTCTGCTGGCTTTAGTAGACCAATCCGGAGCGGCACCCAGAATAAGTCAATAAAAAAAGCGCTTGGTCTTCCTGCAGTGAACATTCGGCTGCGGCTTGTATTTTTAGAGCAATTCTGTGCTAAACATCAACTGTCTCGTGACTCAATGCTGTGTTTTTAGGTTTTTGGTTTTTTTTTTCTGTTTTTGTTTTTGGTGGAAGTGGTTCATAAATATTTAAACATGTGTGGAACTTTATTAGAAAACATAACAGACCAAACTTTTCTATTTTATAGAAAAATCAGTCCCCCCCCACATGTGATGCCAAGACAATAAGCTTTTGTTTACACTTGCAGCTGTGGGTGGTAAAAACAAGTGGTTGAGCCATGTTTTTGCCACCTCCCCCCTAAGTTGCAAAGGCTGCTGTACAGAGGTATACACATGGCACAGCTGCAATGCTTTGCAAAAATGATCTCACCTGTTATGTTCAGACAATACCACTTGCTGAATGTGACTCTGACTGGGGAAGGAGGTAAAAACCAAATGGTCAGTCCGCCCCTGCCTCCACCCCCTGACCATCTACCCAACAGTGGACATGTGCCACTCCGGTGAGTACACCTTGCTGCAGCTGTGCTGAGCGTCAGATGGTGCTGCCTGTCCAACTCTCCCATGTAAGTGACACAGACTACAAACAAGAGACAAACGCTTGGCTTACAGTTTCAGCAAAAAAAAATTCTCAGTCAGTGGCTTAGAAAGAAATGAAGCCATTAGATTAGTATGACAGCCAGGGAACCAACATTCACACACAGGACCACAACACTGGCCTCCATAATTCTCCTGTGATGGGCACACTTTAAGGGTTGCCATTGTCATACATGCAGGTAAATGATGTTGTCACCATTTGTGTGACAAAAACAGGAAGTGAGAGGAAATCCCTACAAAATCAGGGAATCCAGTGTCCCCCTTGGAAGATTTCCCCTCTGTGCCTGTTCTGTTGACAACCCAAAATGTGGGATTTTGTTTCACGTTTAATGGTAACCGTAAGCATGACAAATAGTGACTCTTCCTAACGGGGACACAGATGGTCATAACCTGACAGGTTCTAATCCACCTCCACTCTAGATGCAGTGTGCTGTCTGCATACATTCAGATGGGGGAAGGGTCTTCAAAATACAGAATGTGGTGGAAAGAGTGTTCACTTACACTGGGGTTTCCAAACCTTTGAAACAAAGGGCCAGTTTACTGCCCTAAAGACTTTAGGGGGGGCAGTGGGAATAGAAAATACCATGGCATCAGTAGGAGTAAATGGTGCCATAGACTTGGTCAGTGGTAGTGAAAAAAAATGACATCATTGGTGTTAGTGGGAGGTATAGTGCCCCATTGTTCGTGTCAGTGGGAGGTATAGTGCCCCATCATTTGGTGTCAGTGAGAGGTATAGTGCCCCGTCATTGGTGTCAGTGGGAGGAATCATGCCCCGTCATTTGGTGTCAGTGAGAGGTATAGTGCCCCGTCATTGGTGTCGGTGGGAGGTATAGTGCCCCGTCAGTGGGAGGTATAGTGCCCCGTCATTTGGTGTCAGTGGGAGGTATAGTGCCCCGTCATTTGGTGTCAGTGGGAGGTATAGTGCCCCAAAGGCCAGATAAATACAAGCAAAAGGGCCACAAGGTCCACGGGCTGAGTTTTTAGACCACTGACATACAGGAATGATGGTGTCTGTGTGACATTTCTACCCGAACAGCATCAAAAAGGATAACCTGGATGTTTTCTAGTCTACTGATAACAGCACAGTTGAGCTCTTGTTGTGGGCATCGTGCTGTGGTGTTTATGTTGGTGTCATGCCAATTTTTTCTGGCTTTTTTTTTTTTTCTGCTTGGGGCTCATTTACTCCATATCCATTGAGCTGCATTGGTCAATTAAAAAATGCAAAGAAAGCAGTTGTTTGTACTCTGTTCACATCATCGTGCTGTGGTACATGTCTACACAAAGAAAAAAGAACATTTGTGGAAGATTTCTGTCTATCAAAACGAGAAAAAGTTGGTTGAGGGACTTGATGCTACCAGTACAGAAAAAAAAGTGGTTCAATCTGCATGAACAGCATGCAGTTTGATGTGCGTTGTGCTGTGAATGAGCCCCTAATGATGTTGTTCATCACAAGCTATCCCATTGAACACCTATCCTCATTAATGCACTTGTATATAGTTACTCATAGGGACTCTGGGGCTACTGTACATGTATGTATTGGATGCATTAAAATGTTGAGTAAAGTGACACTAACTCATATCCTTAGTTTCCAAAAATTATCTGTACACTTCCACTACTTAATGACCCTGTAATCTATTTTTCATACAAATGTTTTTTGCTGTTGTGTTCCGTCTCCTTGAAATGCCCTCCGTGAGCTCCCAAACCTTTCCTTTTCCACCTCAATTGTTTGTTTGGAATGAACAGTGTACGTTAGTTGTGGTCATGCACACTATATATCCCATAGTTCAAAGTAAGAGAGGGTGGCTACGTTCCTACATACAGTGGGATCATTGAGAATGAATGTAGCCACCCTCTAACAGGAAGTCAGATTGCAGCAGAAAAAAAAAAAGATTTTTGAGGAGACAGAGCAATAGACTTTTTTAGAGTTGTGAATACATACTTTGTATAATGTTTGCTGTGGTTGTTTTTTTGTTTTTTTTTTTGTTTTTTCTTTCAATACCAGAGTTTTTAGTTGATTTATAGAAATCCTAGATGGTTGGAACAAGAATTCTTGTAACTTTTTTTTTTTTTTTTTTTTTCTCCATTAGCTCAAGTTCCAGACAGTGATGAGCAGTTCCTGCAGGACCTCCAGTCAGAGAACCGTAAGTAATCCTCCATGTTTCCTGTATACATTACTGGGAAGAATTGGGATGTGGTTTGGTTGGTAGAGGCGGGTGTACACAGAACCTTCTTAGGAATGCCAGTCTTCAGGACAGAAGAATGAGCGCGTTGCAGCGGGGAATGTGCGCGGATCTCGCTGGAATGTGATGTTTGCTAGTGACATTCTTTGTTCCAGGTTTTCATATTGAGCTTTGTGTAATATGGTGGTTTCAGTGCACATACACTGCAGACATCAACCTTATTGGCCTCACTTCACACTGCATTTGAATTGCACAGGAATCGCACATCATTCTTGTGCAATTCGCAGGTGATTCTGTGCAGTACAATTGGAGCCCATTCATTTCCATTGGGCTCAAATTGTAGCAGTGCAGGCACCGTGTGTGTGTGCGTGTGTGTGTGTGTGTGTGTGTGTGTTTATTTTGGAGCCGCACCACAACCACATCCCTTGGTTGTTTTGTGCCATGCAATCCGGTGGAGGAAAGCTGCACTGCCATTGTGATGCATTTGGGGTGTTATTAACGTGATATTAAAGACTTGTTTTGTTTTTTTTTTTTTGTTTTGTTTTTTTTTTCCATTTAATGAACATACTTGCCTGCTCTCTGCAGTAGTTTTGCACAGAGCAGCCCAGATCCTCCTTATCTTGGGTCCCCCCACCGGCTCTTCTGACCCCTCCCTCATGTCGGGTGCCCCCACAGGAAGCAGCTTGCTATGGGGGCACCCACTGCTCAGTTTGTCCATTCACACACGGACCTGCGGCTTGGCCCTGCCCTTCTCTTCTCATTGGCTCACTAGCTCTGAGGAAGGGGGTTCGTCTCCCAAAACGCGTCAGCTTATCCCTATCAAGGGCACAACATTGACTGTCTTTGCGGACTACATTTGCTTTTCATTTCCTTTTGGTTTGTGAGTATAAATCTATTTGTCTACACATTAAATACGTGGTATACCACGGTAATGCATGATGAGAGTGCGCCCTGGTCTGCTTTTTGGCTCACTGGCTCTGATTGATGGCCTCAGCCAATGAAGAGAGGGAGTCCCTGGGATTGCCGAGACTCCAGTGCACATCACTAGATCAAGAGGAGGTTTAGGTGAGTATTTGGGGGAGCTGCTGCACACAGAATGTTTTTTTACCTTCATGCATAGAATGCATGAAGGTTAAAAAAAAAAAAAACAAAACAAAAAAAACCTTGTGCCTTTTACAACCACTTTAACTTTATATTGACACCCGCAGAGGATCACAAACACAGTGTGATTGTAATGCAGTGTGGGAAATGCACAGGGATCGCAGCATTTCCCGCACTGCATATGTGTGAACCAGAGCTTGGGGCAGGTGTCTGATTCATGTATTTTAAATGACTTCATTGTACAAGTGCAGCCCATCTGCCTTCATATGCCTTTCACTGCCTCTGTCATCTGCACTTGGCAAAGGCAGAACATGTGAATTGGCGCCTTCATCCACTGAACAGCTCCATTTAGTTTTGATGAGCACATTCCCCAATATACCCCTATTAAGGTAGATCCTTCTTTTTTTTACATTTATTTTTTTTTTATGCACATTTTTAAAAGTTAGGACCCCTTTTAGACCTTACTGTTTGTGTTGAAGAAAATTCTGCAGATCCCCCTTTTGATGCATTGGAAAAACGAATGGTTTGCTTTTTTTTTTTCTTTTGTGAAATTAATCCTGATTTAAAGGAGTTTAAAAAAACAAAACAAAAAAAAAACGGCCCATAGGAGGTTTGTGTGTACAGCAAATTATAGCAGACTAACCTGGCAAGCAATCCCCACCAGTACTGCGATGTCGGTGCTCTTGACTGTCAAGGGTGCATCCATTTTCTCTTGGTGTTTCCTCCCAGGCTCAAACTCCTTTTGACTTGATTGGTTGAGCTGCAATGCCATCACACACATACATGGAGTCACATCATCCTGGCGTATATGGCTAGCAAGCACAGGCTGAGAGACAAATAGGGTCTCTTCTTTCATAAAATTCTAAAACCTATGTGTGTACACACACACACGTAAAAAGTCTACACACCCCTGTTAAAAATGACAGGTTTCAGTGATGTATAAAAAGAGTGAAAGATATAAATAATTTCAGAGCTTATTCCACCTTTTAATGTGACCTATAAACTGTACAACTCAGTTGAAAGACCAACTTAAATCTTCTTTTTTTTGGGGGGGGTAGTAAACATAAACTATATTCATGTGGTTGCATAAGTGTGCGCACCCTCTTTTATAACTGGAGATGTATCTGTGTTCAGAATTAAGCAATCACATTCAAAGTCATGTTAAATAGGAGTCGGTACACACCTGCCATCAGAGTGCCTCTGATTGACCCCAAATTTCAGCTGTTCTAGTAGGTCTTTCCTGACATTTTCTTAGTCGCATCCTACAGCAAAAGCCATGGTCCACAGAGCTTCCAAAGCATCATAGGAATCTCATTGTTAAAAGGTATCAGTCAGGAGAAGGGTAGAAAAGAATTTCCAAGGCATTAGCTATACAATGGAACACATTGAAGACAGTCCTCAAGTGGAGAAAATATGGCGGAACAGTGACATTACCAAGAACTGGACGTCCCTCCAAAATTGAAAAGGTGAGAAGAAAACTAGTCTGGGAGGCTGCCAAGAGGCCTACAGCAACATTAAAGGAGCTGCAGGAATATGTGACAAGTACTGGCTGTGGTACATGTGACAACAATCTCCCGTGTTCTTCATATGTCTGGGCTATGGGGTAGAGTGGCAAGATGGAAGCCTTTTCTTACGAAGAAAAAAATCCAAGCCCGGCTAAATTTTGCAAAAACACATCTGAAGTCTCCCAAAAGCATGTGGGAAAATGTGTTCTGGTCTGATGAAACCAAGGTTGAACTTTTTGGCCAAAATTTCAAAGGATCACCAAAAGAACACCATACCAACAGTGAAGCATGGTGGTGGTAGCAGCATCATGCTTTGGGGCTGTTTTTCTTCAGCTGGAACTGGGCCCTTAGACAAGGTAGAGGGCATTATGAACAGTTCGAATTACCAGTCAATATTGGCACAAAACCGTCAGGCTTCTGCTAGAAAGCTGAACATGAAGAGGAACTTCATCTTTCAGCATGACAACGACCCAAAGCATACATCCAAATCAACAAAGGAATGGCTTCACCAGAAGAAGATGAAAGTTTTAGAATGGCCAAGACCTGAATCCGATCGGAAATGTGGGGTGATCTGAAGAGGGCTGTGCACAGGAGATGCCCTCGCAATCTGATAGATTTGGAATGTTTTTGCAAGGAAGAGTGGGCAAATATTGCCAAGTCAAGATGTGCCATGCTGATGGTCATATCCAAAAATGAGTGCTGGAATAAAATCAAAAGGTGCTTCAACAAAGTATTAGTTTAAGGGTGTGTACACTTATGCAACCATATTTATTTAAGTTTTTTATTTTTACTTCCATCTAAAAGATTTCAGTTTGTTGTTCAACTGAGTTGTACAGTTTATAGGTTACATTAAAGGTGGAAAAAGTTATGAAATTATTTCTTTGTCTACTTAGTTCTCAATGAACTGTGAGGGCGTTGGTGAGCACCTCCATAGGTCATTGATCCTTCCTGCTCTGTAACTGACTGCCCATACAATGAAAAGGCAGATGGCTATCTTGCAGGAGCCCTACATTGCAACCATGATCTGCTGATCGTGGGTGCAATGCTCTGCAGGCTGACTAGAAAAAAATAAAACCTTTTTTTTTTTTTTTTTTTTTTTTTTTTATGGAAAGGTGAGCTTATCCTTTTTAACCCTTAACTTGTAATCCTTTCATGGATCATACTAAGTTCTCCAATAGACCTTTTGCAGTGCTTTATCACACGCCCATTAAGGGGTCTACAGTATGTATACATTTTTGTTGTGGGAATGACCTGCACAGCTTGGTATTACTATGCATGATGTCAGTGGAAGCAACCAAGCGTCTTCTGCAAGCTCTGCCTGCGTCCCTCTAAGCTGTGAGAACGAAGGGGGATGAGCATTCATGTGACTGTAGGGAATATTAATGTAAATAAGATTGTATTATTTTTTCAATGCATATGGGCTAAGCGTGTCTGATTCACATGTGGTTCATTGCGGTGCAATTTGAGCCTATTGATTTGGAATCGGGTCAAATCACGCTGCATCACACTCAAATTAGTACATGCACTATTTTTGGAAACACACTGCAATCGGATCTCATTGTACTTTTGTACCATGCCAACTAGTGTAGGCAAGCACAAACGTACGTGTGTGTCCAGCATTTGGGGGTGTCATTAACTTATCATTGACACCCTCTGCAAATCACAACTGCAGTATGTTTTGAACACGGTATGAGAAACACACATGGATAATCTTTTCCTGCACCACGTTCTACTGTGATCCTAGTGTTCATGTTGAGGATGAATTCCAGGCATCAGCATGTTTATACACTTTTACACTGACCAGATTGGACCGACGTAACTATGTGTACATACCATACCCACATGATGCCCCTGGAAGCTGGAAAATACTGATGTAGACACTGTTACTCCAAGCATCTCCACTTCTGGATCCTGTGCTGAGCAGCCGGTCTGATGTATTGTGAACATAGGAGGTTGGCTACTCGGGATGGGTGCCATTCTGAGATTTTGAATGAATGCAAAGCATTCTCTGATTTGGATGAGGTGGAGCAGCAGGGTGGTAATGTCACATTCTTCACCTCATCCAATCAGAGAATGTTTTGCATTCATTCTGAAAATGCAAAGCAATCTGTGAAGGGCACCCATATCTAGTGGCCGACCTCCAGATTTAGCAATGCATTAGATGAGCCACTCAGCCTGGGACCTGGAAGCTAGTGGAGATCACTCATATAGGGTTGTCTACTTCAGCGATATCCAGCTTCCAGGGGGATCAGCCAGGTATTTATTTATTTCAGGTACTTATATAGTGTCATCAATTTACGCAGCACTTTACATATATATTACGTTCCCATCAGTCCCTAACCCTCAAGGGGTGTACAATCTAAGGTCCCTAACTCACATTCATACATACACATGCTAGGGACAATTTAGACAGGAGCCAATTAACCAGGTATGGTATATGCATAGTTACATTGCATAGCCTTTCTCAACCCTTGAAATAACTTTCCAGTGTCTAGAAACCCCTGCTGAAAATGACTATATCTGCAACTCATGATACATTTGTAAGATGGTCAGTGGGAGGAATGGTCCTTACACTTGTGGTCACTGGGAAGAATTACCCCACTTATAGATGGATAGATGGCTAAAAAGGTCATAGGTGTCAGTGGGAACTTGTTTGAGAGGAAGAAAGTGCTCAAGGACCCCCCTTGCAACTTCTGAAAGAACCCCAGGGCTCCATGGAACCCTGGTTGAGAAATCCTGGGTGTAATTCTTTATAACATACAAATGCCTGGAATTCATCTTTAGTGTGGTGTGTAAACTGTTTACATTCATATACCGGAGTCAGATAAACAGATTCCACGTGGCTATCAGTGATGTGTAGGGGAGAACATTGCACTTTCTTCCAGTCATTATCTATATCCAAGTTAAAGGTCTGCAGCAGCACTTCCACCCGTGCAGCCAACTTTTCCAGTCTGTGGAATGAAATGCAATATTCCATTAGAGGTCATTAGTGCTCCACTCTTGTGCTTTTCCAGTTCCCGCTCGTCACGTGGTAGACTCTGCATTGACTGGATACTGGACACCAGACCCACTTTATATATTGCCACAATCCAGAGGCTAAGTGCATGCATTTCATAAAGGGGACGCTGCTTCCATTGAGAAATGTCTGCACACAGACTACCCATACACAGTCCTCTATTGCAGCAGCTTGGGAGGGGGGACGTTTGGCACCTTTTTTATTAAGTCGGCCATTAAGACATAGGCAGAGGAATGATAAAGGAGAATGCAGTTGTGTCTGTCTGCCTTTCCCTCTGTTATGGCAGCAACATGCCAAACCTTTGAAAAGATTGCATCCACAACAGATTGTGCGGAGCTGTTTCGGAAGTGTCTGGTCTGGCCTGTGGGTGTGTCACGTTCAGACTTGTCCCTGAACAATGTACAGTACAGGGCTTTGTGTGTCCTTACTTTAACCCCTGCAGGCCCGGGCCCCAGGCCGACTCACCGCACATTTCCTGTCTGTTCCCTCTACGGAGGATTCGGGGGGAATTCAGGTGCTGGCATAGGAAATGGTTCAGTGTATGTTAGCACAGCACCAGTCTGCCTTTACTGAATGTTCAATAAAAAAAAATTCGTATACGAAGCGTGCCAGATTTCATTGTTAAAGAGACCAATAAACCTCAAAAAGTCTCCATAATATTAAAGAAGTGTGAAAAGAGGAAGAGCGAGCTGTAACCCACAATTACCACTCCGCTCTGCTCTTAGACGTCGTGTCCTGGCCGTAATACAGAATGGTGTGCTGTCATGCTGCATCTGATTGAATAGTCCTGAAATGTAATAACAGAATATAATAATCTACTGTAATCTCTTATAATATATTTTACCTTATATTTTATTGCATTATAGATTTTTTTATTACAGCAGATCTTCAAATATATTTCAGCACTTTGACAAGACATATGCTGTATTTTATGTTGCATGTTTTATGGGATGCTTTTACTATTTCAAGCTGGAGAGGGGCTAAAGGCTGCAACTTTAAAGCTGAATTCCAGGTATGGAAATGTTTGCAGTTACATTTACTGACTTGGGTCAATGTAAGTTTGCATGTTCCATAGCTGTGGGATCCCTGTGGAAACTAGAAATCATTGTAGTAGGTATTGCTACTCAATCTTCACTAGCTTCCAGATCCTGTGCTGAATGGTACCTTGCTGCTTTCTGAACACAGGAGGTCACTCACTTGCCACATTTTTTTTTCTCAAATGAATGCAAAGCATTCTCTGATTGGATGGTTTAGAGAGGCTGAGCAGTGATGTCACAATCTCCACCCAATCCAGTCAGAAAATAATTTTTTGCTTTCATTGAAAAACTGCAAGGCCCATGCCGAGCAAGCGACCTCCTGTGTTCACAATGCAGAAGATCAGTTGCACAGCACAGGACCCAGATGCTATTGGTGATCACTGTAGTTTTGGTGCCTGCTACAGTGATTTTCAGCTTCCACAAGAATACCACAGGTATGGCACATACTTGCTTTATTCCTAAGCTGGACCAATGTATCTATACCTGGAATTCCTTTTTAAAGTGTATCTAAACCAAAAACTTAATATACTGTGCCTTACTAGTCCTTGGGTCCTGGGTTTAGTGGCTGCATTTTCTGGCTTTGCTTTATCCTACAAATAGTAATATTCCTGTCCCTGGCTGACTACATCACTTCTTGTCCATTGCATCTACGGAGAGAGCCTTGGTTGTATGGATTACAAACATGTCAGTATCTCTCCATCTCCATTACATGTTACAGTTGGTTTACAGAAAATGGCTAGGAAAGAGTATTTTCTTTGGAGCAGCTCACAGGAAGTGACCAGGACCATGCATTTTTGGCAGGATCAATCGGTATTTGCTGAAAATGTTTTTAATTTGGTGGGGGAAAAAAAGGAAACTACTGCAGCCACCACAACTATGGTCTGATTCACACCAGCAGCTATGCTAGCACACAGCTGCTATGTGCTGGGAGGACATAGAGGTTGATTTACTAAAGGCAAATAGACTGTGCACTTTGCACAGTGCAGCTGTACTCTACAGAGCTTAATAAATGAGGAAGCTCTGCTGATTTACATCATCCAATCATGTGCAAGCAAAATTGATGTGCTTTTTTTTTTTTTTTTTTTTGTTCTCCATGCATGTGATCGAGTATTCTTTGCAAAGTGAAGCCTTCATTTACTAAACTCTGGTGCAACAGCACTTGCAGCATGCACCTGCACTTTGCAAAGTGCACATCCTATTTTGCCTTTAGTAAATCCCGTAGTGTCAAAGCATCATTCTTTTTAACAAAAAAAAAAAAGTAATATAACCGTTACAAGGGATGTTTGATTTAGTTCTATTCACAGTGGTGTTGGGATGCAGTGGTTTTCTTCATATCCCGCTGCAACACAGTGGTGTGAACTGACATCATAGAAAACAAGGCAAATTGCATTGTCTTTGCATTTTGGATTGCGCCAGGCAACACTGCCCAGTGCATCTCTATGCAAATGATGTGAATTGGCCCCAAGGACTGTGAATGAATATGTTGCATTTTTTGTTTTGTTTAGTTATCTTTTGTGTAGGATAAGTACACCCTAAACCAGCACTGTCTAATAAAACATCTCTGAAGAATAACACCCCAATAGGGAGTACAGGGTGGTTTACATGCCCCCTATTCATATGTGCACCCCCCTATATGATCTTAAAATATGTGCTGAGAAAACTATTGGCGCTAATTAAATCCTGTATTATAATAATATTAAAATGCTAACAGTAGGAATCATTCTGACACATGAATGGGAAGTGGTTGGAATGTGTCGGCAGTCAGAACTGTAATGTTTACTGGCACAGAGTCTCATTGACAAAGCTTTGCTGTTTAGAGCAGCTCTGATCTGTACACAATCTGCCGAGAAGGAAATGATGTCCCAAGAGGGACGCTTACATCGGTGTTACACCATCCCCTGACACTTGTCACGTGGCTGCACTGGGACACAGCAAACAAGCTGGGTGTACATGATGGCAGAACAGTGACAGAAGAACAGATTAAATACGTCATTGCCTCTTCTCTAATTGTTGTTACAGTGCTTCTTTGGGTCCTGCCAGTGTCCCACCCTTCTCATGGGACAATGTGATGCAAACACCTTCCTTTTACCTTGCTGATTTTACATCTGCCTTGTATATTCATTCACATTCATCTTATAGATTTTAGTCCTTTCACATAATAGTCATAATCTTCATTGCTGTAGTCATAAAAAGCTTACCCTGTGAACCATTGACATTGTTGACCTGTATGATAGACCAATTCTTAACTGTCTAGTGGGTTTTTTTTTTTTTTCCCTATCTACAGTATAAAATCTTTAAGTATCAGCAGTAAATAGATTTACGTTGCATTACCTGGAAGCACCTTTAGATTTGCTCCAGGCCTATGCTTTCAGAATTGGGTGGGTCCATTAAAAGGCAGGCCAGCATGCTTAGCAGTGTTTATTTTTATTGCTAATTGCTGTAGTCTGAGGAGCAGTTTACAAACACCTGGATTAAGACCTTGAACTCCTGGTTATACATTAAATACCTGGCTTTAAACAACGTGAGTCGTAGTTGGTTAGTTATAGGTAAGTTGTGGTTTGTTTGTTTTGTGTGTGTTTTTTTTTTTTTTTTTTTATTGTAATATTGATGTTCATTAAGCAAACTAGTTACAGGATAATCATAGCTGTAGCTTGCTACTTGCCCAGTGGGTTATGTAAGAACAAATGGAAGAGACTGCCTTGGTATTTATTGGCAGCCTGCACCTGGCACTTTAATACCCTTTTATAAATGACAAGGTACAATGGTATCTGTAGTTCTTCAGAAGTAAGCCATGGGCCTCCCCATTAGTGTGCCATTTATGGTTCTGGTAAGACTTACTATATGCATCCAAAGGGAGAAAACCTGCTCTGTACACAGACTGCAGTGTCTGGAGTTTTTTTTATCCACATGTTTAGTTTCTTTCTTTCTGTTTCAGTTGCTTTTCACAGTCCACCAGTGAAAATAAAGAAGGAGCAGCCCAGTTCTTGTTCCGAGCCCAGTGTTTCCTGTAGCCAGAAACAACAGTTTGAATACCGTAATGGGGAGCAGTGCCTTTATGCCAGGTGAGTTAATTATGTGCGTTTTTTTTTATTAGCTTTGCCTCTTTGAAACAGAAGTGGAGTACATTGCATATCTTTCATCATCGGGGGGGGGGAAAAAAAAGTTTATTTAACATATAAAGCCCAGGTCCAGGCAAAAGTGATACACCCCTTGCTTTGTTGATGACAGAAGTGATGTAACTGCATTCTGTTCTAAGAAGTCATTTCTGCAGTATACAGTATTGAAGCTGATGTTCGTCTCTTTTGGTCCTGAACAATACATTTTTTGCTTACAAACTTAAGGCAAAGGTGAAATACAAAAGTCGTCACAAGTACAATAGATGACATCTGTAGTAAAACAAAGATCCGAGATGGATCCGTTAAAAAAAAAAAAAAAAAAAAAAAAAAAAACTGTTGAAATTATTATACAGGATTTATATAGCGCCAACAGTTTGCTCAGCGTTTTACAATAGAAATCACAATATAAATGTATAGGACATGAAGGTATCCATCATATCCTCTAATTAAAAAAAAAAAAAAAAAAAAAAAAAAAAGCCGAACATAAAAAAAAAAAAAAGAGAAAACGCAGCAAACAGAAAAGACGGTATGGATAACAGTACAGGTCATCACCGAACGCTTCCAGCATTTCAGTCCAAATAAGGTCAACAATTCTTAAACGCTTATAAATCACCAAGGTTATAGGATCCAAGCAAACTATTGATTTAGGAAGGCAGAGGTAAGCAATATAAAACCAAGGATCCCATTTGGGTCAAAGTGAGTTTTAGAATCATAAATTGTGTGAAATATTTCATAAGTATAAGGGCATCCATTCTAGAGACTGGGTAAAAGGCACTGTCATAGATTTCCAATGAAATGCAATAGTTCAGTATATAGCTACGCACAAAGTATGGAGCAGTCTCTCTAGGGGGTGGGGAAGATTCGAGATGGAGGAGAATAGCAGGCATTGTGAACGAGTCATAGTAATTTGTTTTCCCGCTAATTGAGAGCAGAGATTAAAGATCTCCAGCCAGATTGTGACAATTGTTTCACATTTCCAGAAGGTATGGAGGGAAGTGCCTGGTTAATGACAACCCCAAAAGTTGTGTGGGGAGACTTGTGTATAAATAGTGGAGTTTAAGGGGTGTTTAGTACCATCTAGTGAATAATTTGAGGGCTGTATCAGACAGGCAAGGATCTGGTGCATTTTCTGAGACTGGTCCAGAGAGTCCCACTCCTATTACGTAAACTGTTCAAGATCCCTCTGATCCTTAACGATAAATTAACTGGATCTCCTGTTGGAAGGAACTTGACTATAATTTTATACTATACCCAGTATTACCCTATGGTTTGGTAGTGCCTAATGAGTTATTTAATGTGCAATTTACTTTCTGTTAACAGTGTTTATGACCAAACATCCAGGCAAGCTGGTATCAAGTCTCAGAACCAAGGTGCTCAAGTGTCCCCCCTCCATCACTTTTCTAGACAGGACCGAGGATTTGTCCCTCCACAGAGCTCATCACAGTCTGTTCAGTCTGGAGGATACCTTGTGGAACATAGGTAAGGTTCCTTATTAAAAATGCCTTGGTTGAGCTTGGTCTCCTTTCTCTTGTGGCAGCTGTATTTATATTGTAACTTGAAATAACATGACGGTAACCATGTCTACAATATAAAAACCTACACCTGGGTTTTCTGACCCAGAAAGTGTAAGTTACAGTGGCAGCATGGGCTTGGTGGTTTGTAAAGAACCTCATTTATTCGCCATGTCATAGCTCTCATAACCACATGGTCAGAATCCATGCTGAATTGGTGCCTGATCTAGGGGAGATCCAAGCTGCCACTTAAGAGATGTCTAATAACTAGGATAGACACAACAAGTGCTTATTTGTAGTTCTAACCAACAATAGAACCTTTTTAGGACACTAACATCATGCTTGAGAACAATAACAGATTGTGGACACTGCTAAGGGTATGTTTGCCATACTTCAAGATAATATATGCAAATATAATGTAATTTTAAGTGGTACCACTGAATTAAATTTTGCCTTTTTTGTACATATTTTTTTTTTTTTTTTTTTTGTATGCCTAGCTCCAGGTACCCACAGCAGATGCCAGAGATGTGCCACTCCTTTCCATCAGCACAGAACATGAGCAGGGAGTCTCCTGCTAACTACCAACGGCAAATGTCAGAGCCATGTCTCCCATACCCACAGCAGGGCTTCAAGCAAGAGTATCATGACCCTATGTATGACCAGGCAAACCATGCTGGTCCAAGCAGAGCTCATAGATATCCTTCCAGTGTTGTAATCAAACAGGAGCAGACAGACTATTCATATGATTCAGGTAAGACCTGCTGCTTTGATCCCTTAGCAACCCCTTATAAAAGATCTGAAGATGAAGTGTCTTCAGTACAGGGCGATTCCTAACCACTTCCAGTCCGGACGCTTTTACCCCCTTCCTGTCCAGGCCAATTTTCAGCTTTTCAGTGCTATCACACTTTAAATGACAATTGTGCGGTCATGCAACACTGTACCCATATGAATTTTTTAGCATTTTTTTGAGACTGATAAAGCTTTATTTAGGTGGTATTTATTCATCACTTGGATTTTATTTTTTTGCTATGTAAATTAAATTAAGTCCAAAAATTTTGAAAGTGTTTTTCTTATAAAATTTTGCAAATAGTATTTCATCATAAATCTTGGCCAAAATTTATTTAGTTATATTTTTAGAAAAAACATTTTTTATTTTTATATATATATATATATATATATATATATATATATATATATTTTTTTTTTTACATACTGGCACCCTAGCAGTACATGGTGACACTGTACTACTTGTGGAGAATGATGAAGATTTATTTTTTTTTTTACACTGATTGCTTTTACACCCCTAAAGGATGTCGAAGCAACAATTTCTCCTTCTCTCCAGCTGCGTTCTTGCAGCCGTTGAGAACTACTGAGTGAGCTGTGATTGGTCACATGGTACAAGGCTGTTGTGAATGGCCTTGTACCATGTGACCTCTGTGATCATTCAGAGTTCACACGTAGTAAGAAATGATGACGGGGGTGACATCTTGCTTGCTACTCTGCATGTGATCGGGACCTCGCACAGAGGTCCCCTACGACGATCGGTGTTCCGGAGGACACAGCGGGCACCGTATCGCGGGGCTGCGTGCTCCCAGGAAGAGCAGACAAGCAGGGTGCGGGGAGGCTGTTTATAAACGGCCACCCGACCCTGCACTGCCACCGTCCAGACGGTTATATACAATGGCCGGACGGGAGGTGGTTAATTGTTGAGAGGCTGAAGGTTTTTAATGTCAACCAACATTTTAGTAACATTTACCATATCCGGTGACAGACAATTTAATAAAAAAAAAAAAATGGTATGGTTAGATGGTACACATGTGCTTGAAATAACATGATGGTAACCAGGTCTACAATGTACCATATATGGCATCCCATGTTCATGACCAACTTTTTGGATGGCCATGGAAACTTAATTTTTGTCCCTGGTGCAGTGCCTCAAGTCTACAAATGGGGTGATAAAGTGTTTTCCTGAACATCAGATGCACTTATACCATGTTGGAAATTTTGCATGAAAAACTGGCCAATTGCTGTCATCTTTTTAAAGAAAACCTAGGAAGAATGTGTTTACCTTGTGTGTGCCTGTTTACCAGGCAAGTCTCCTGAGAAACCATATCCGGTCCTGCCTCTATAGTTCACTAGCAGATGGCTTCCTACCTATTATACTTGGCAAGATATTGGGGTTGATTCAATTTTAAGCTTTGACGAAAAAACCTGGAAGCTGATATGTTTCTGTGCAGATGTGCACCAGATGTGCACCTCCACTTTTTGTATATCAACCCCATTGTCTAGTCTATGGCTAACCTTGATCTAGAGAAGGTTGGGAATTGTTTTAATTAGGATAAGTTCCACTAGCTCAAAAATAGTTTTGCTATTTCAAGGTTGACTATTCGTAGATGTCCTGAGCAGACGCCCATTATGATACACTGGCAAGAATCAGATAATTTAGGGTTAATGTTAGGTGTGATAGCAAGTGGACCATCATAGCCTCTTAGGATCATTGTAGTGGAATCATTTGTCGGACTTATTACTGCTCATGGAGTATTTCCAGCTTGTTGCTTCTGTGTAATTTGACAAATCCTTTGTTTCTCTTTAGAAGGAAGGTGGTATTTGTAAATGCCCCTCTTTAGTCCATTAGGCAAAATGCACCAACTGTAATTTTGAGGCACCTGCCTGACCAAGACTGTCCTGTTTCAATACTAGACTAGACACTTTCTGTGCTCAAAAGGAAATCATCCCAGGACGTGATGACCCTTTAGTAAATCATTCCTTTTGTAGATATTTGGTGCAGCAGAGCCACTTGCCAGCAGTGATATTACTGTTGAATACATTGAAGTACATATTTTATCTACTAAATAGCTTATTGAATAAGTATAGACTGCAAAGGATTAAGTTGGCAGTTCATTATTTGCATTACGTATATTTACATGAAGTCTGTTTATGGTGGATTTGCAAAAAGTTTAAAGGGTTAACTCACTTTTACCAAAAAACAAGCTGGGCAACTTTGACCAAAGTTGAATAATGCCTTAGGTGTAGGCCTGAAGCCTGGCCAAAAACTACCAGGCATGGCACCACCTTCCCCATCCTGTTTTGCTGCTAGGACCCTCCCAACCATTGCTCAACCCCTTCTCTAATTGAAATCTTGGGTAGATGGTGAACCACATCTGTGGTTTGGATTGGAGAGTTTGCTCCTGTGATGGGGAGTGTGTGCAGTAGCAGCTTGGGAATGCAATAGCAATGTCCTAGCAACAAGGCAGGATGGCCGGATGCCATCTTTGGGAGTTTTTCAGCCATGCTTAGGGAGGTACATCAACAATATACAACTAAAAGCAAGGGCATTATCCATCTTTAGCTAAAGCTGCAGTTTATTTTTATCTCTGCTCTTTACCTGCTTAGGCAGTTTTTGGTAAAGACTAACTAACATTTTATTGGCTAACTTGCTTTATTTAAAGCAGTCTTTCTCAACCAGGGTGCCTTGAGATTTGTTTCAAGGGTGCCCTGGCAAAATGTTTAAAAGTTGCACAAAATGTGTATACAAGCCAGCGGGTGGAAGAAGCCTGCCTTTTAGTTACACAAAGCCACACATTTTCATTGTGCGCCATTATGACCTTCTAGCCACTGGCATCCTGAAAACCAATGACATCATCGGTGGATAAGGATGTCAGTTGCCTGCACAGCATCCTTGCTGGACCCTCCCCTGCCCCTCAGAGATGGGGTCACATCAGCTGAGTGATGCAGAAAAACTGAGAAATATTGGAATACTAGTCAGTACCAGTCTGCAGAAGTGTATTTGATTTGGAAGAATAAATCCCCTCTATCGTTGGGTGTCCATGTGTGGGTGTTGCTGCTTTTTATATAAAACTATTAGAATAGTTTTTCGCATTTTAGAATAGGGATCCTTGGGACTGTCCGTAATTTTAAAGGGTGACTCGGGACTGTCCATGATTTTAAAGGGTGCCTTGACTGAAAAAAGCTTGAGAAATACTGATTTTAAAGGTTCAAGATTTTGGGATCCTTGGATCTTTGTCAAGTTTTTATACAATATTGTAGACCTGTGATCCTGCAGTGAGCCCCATATAGATGGGACCTTTTTATCTCAGTCTGACACTAGTCTCTACTCTCTCTCGTGTTATAGCTAGAGGGTGAAGCAGTATTTGGTGCTTTAAGTATGTGCGTGTCTAGGTCTGTCTTGTATCCGATCTGCTGTCTGTCTGCATTGCTTGTGAGTGAACGTCTGTTCCATGCAACTCGGTGCCGCCACATAAAATCTAATGGCTTGTTTGAGGTACCAATATGCATGAACTAAAGATGATTGAACTGAAAAAACTTTCAGGAATGGTTGGCAGTGGAATTACGCAGCTAGACTTGTCAGAAGCATGATTTGTATTAATGATGGAATTTGAACTTCCTCCGGGTTGTCTTCTCCTCTGTTTAGCCTATAGATAGATGAACATTTCGGTCTTGTATTTATGATTGCTTTCTGTGGCACACCATGCTGGGATGAGGCTGCACTCTTGAGTGTACGGTGACCTTGCAATTTCCAGCTACAAAATTTCTCTGATAGGATTGCATTATGACCTTGATTTCTAGCTCCCTCCCACCTGCCTGCCAGTCAGACGCACATACACTCTGAATGGAGTCAAAGGAATTTCACTCACAAAATGGAGGACGAGCGAAAGACAAGAAGTCCCCATAGGGCTACTCTGGTGCCGGCTTACACAGCTGGGCTGCCTTTTCATAGGCAGCTGACATCATAGCAGAAATATGGGCTGTCTTGTGGTAACACTATCTGTTACTGTATTTCTGCCCAAGGCTATTAAGGCTTTGGGAGGAAGAAAAACCTCTGTGCTAATGACGTTACAATACAGGATGGATAGTACCAAACTTCCAGTCTTAACGTTTGAGCAGGTTTTTATAAATAGACGTGTGAAAGAGATCAGCTGGATTTAAACCATCTTACCAACGTGTGGTGAAAAATTGAAAAAAACAAATCTGTTTTGTAATGTATCTAGCCGTTTTTCATGTTCTTACCTCACTACTGGGTGAAAATAGACTCCCAAGAGCTGAAGTTTATGAATGGATAGACATTGGAGGAGTTTGTTTGGCTTTCTTGCGCACTCAAAATAAGCAACCTGAGGAACTTCATTTAAACCTCCTGCTTCATATGTTTTAGGTAGAGAAATATAGCTTGTGTCCTTATGAATTTAGGACAGTAAACCACCATTTGAGAATGTTAGTGCATCTAAACCATAAGTATTTGGTTTTTTTTGTTTTTTTTGTCAAGCCAAAAAACCTTTTTTTGCTCTAGTTTTGGATAGAGTGGAGAAGGGCTACAACCACTTCTGGGTTTTTACTGCTGTCCAGGGATCAGTTAGAGTTTTCCCCTCATTTCCTGTCATTTCCTGTCCTACTGATAATGGTTTCACCAAACGGGAAGTGAAGAGGACAAGAACAAAATTAAAACCCCAACATGGGTTCTAGTTCTCCCCTACGTCACTGAAGAAAAACATTTTTATTTTTGTGTTGCTGTTGAAGGGTTCCCCTCAGCTTCTGTTTGGTAAAGTATTGACAATAGGGTGGGGAATAAGGGTAAGTATCTCTGCAACGGAGCCTCGAGTAGCAGTAAAAACCTGACAGGGGTTTTGCCTACTGTGGAGATTTCCCTTTACTTCCTGTCCCATTGGCTTAATATGAAATGAGAGGAAGTAAGGAAAATCTTAGTTGTCACTGGAACATGTGTTCCTGTTGGGAGATCTCCTCTTCTATTCCTGCTATAGTCCAAGCCCAAAATGCTTTTCCTCACAGTTCCAGGAGCATTGGTCACCAGAACAAATGTTGCAAATTTACCTAGCAGGAAGATTTTCTTTCCCCTCATGTTCCTGTGACACCTGTAAAGTGATGTGTGTGTTTCTGGGCTTGTTCACACTGGCTGTTTTACCAACGCTTGCCAAACGCCCCTATATCGTTTGGCAAGCGTTGGTCCGGTTTTAAACGCTCCGCAAAGGCCGCATGTGCGGTTTAGCGGCGGTTGCTAGGTGTTTGCCGAGCATTACAAACGCCTATAATGCAGTTTGAATGGTGTTACCGCTCCGCAAACGCATCGCAACCGCACTGCAAACGCCGGCCGGGCGTTTGCGGAGCAGCACCATAGACTACAATAGGAGGCTTCAACGCCTCCTGACTCGACCAGAGGTGTCCGTTTTGCCGCAACGCGACGCAAACACTCCCGTTAGAACAGCACCATGTGCTGTAATGTGCAGAATTGGCAGAGGCGTTTGGGAAGCGGTAAAAACGATTCCCAAACGCCTCTCTGCCGCCTGCACACAACGCTAGTGTGAACGTAGCCTTTGTGGTTTTTTTTTTAAGGGGTGAATCTCCCCAAAACTTCTCACTTTTGTATTTAGATGTACTTTTTATTAAGGGTTCAGGTAACCCCTTATAATCTACCAACACTGACTAGACTACCACAGAATGAACAACATTAATGGACACAAAGTAACACCTGCCAAGTGTTTTTTCAAAAGAGTGAAGACCGCCTAACATACATGTATGCCAGCAGTTTCAAGTGGAATGATGAGGATGATGTATGCAGCTACAGGCATCATCCCAGTATTTTTTTTTTTTTGTTAAAAGCAATCCTAGCAGAAGTTTGCCACTGGATTGCTCTTACAGGTGGTGGAGGAGCGTTCCAATTTTCCACCTCCCCCTTCCCCCCCCCCCCCCCCCCCCCCCCCCACTGCTGTCCGATGCCTCTCTGGGCTCTCTAGTAATGTCCCCAATCATCTCTATGGTAAAGGAAAGAAGACAAGAATGTTGTCATTTCCGGTTTTGCTGGATGTTAAACAGCACAATTTTTAGATTGGGAAAGCATCCGATCACACTGATCTTGGTGTGATCAGATGCTTTTAAGAGTAGAGGGGACATCCAGGGTCTGATAGACCTCAGATCTCTCCATAAAGAGAATCGGTCACAGCTTCTTATCGCCAGAGATGTTTACATTCCTTGTGACAGCAATAAAAGTGATTAAAAAAAAACATTTGTAAGTAAAAATTGAACCTTTTTTAAAAAATGAAAGCACCCCCATCTCCCTGTGCTCGCACGCAAAAGTGACCGCATACATTGGTTCTGCACGTATACATAAACAGCGATCACACCACACATAAAGTATTTCCACGAATGTCAGAGCAAGAGCAATCATTCTAGCAGATCTGTGTAATGCTAAACTGGTAACCTGTAAAGATTTTATAAAGCGTCACCTACAATTACTGTAGTTTGGCTCCTTTCGCCGATCGTGCACATATTTAAAGCGTGACATGTTGGGTATCTGTTTACTTGTAACACCATCTTTTCATATTTTACGAAAAAATTGGGTATCGTGTTTGTGTGAATTAAAATTCATTAAAGTGTTTTTTTTTTTTTTTTTTTTTTTTTTTTTTTTTTTTTTTTTCAAAAATAATTGCATTTGAAAGACTGCTGCGCAAACACTGTGTGACCTAAAAATTGCAAACCGTTTTTATTCTCTAGAGCCTCTGAGTAAAAAATATGATGTTTGGGGGTTCTAAGTAAATTTTTTAGCAAAAAAATAAAATTGACATATTGTACAAAAAAAGTGTCAGAAAAGGCCTGGTTTTAAAGCGGTTATCAATGGAAAGGGAAATTGAAGGTCTTGCGGTTTTAGCACATAATCCTATTCCAACTGTTGGTTTTCTAAAGTTGGTTTGAGAATGGAATGAACTGGTTACTCTGGTTGCTATCAGTAGCATTTTGTAATAGTTTCCTGAATACCCCTAGAAGAGTTCATGTTCTTCAGCTCTTTACACCAATGTACAGATTAAATGAAGTGTGTGTGTGTGTTTCTTTTGCATTATGGTCAACATTTTGCCTTTTTAGAATCACTTTAAATTCAATTATGAATTCAACACTAAAAAAAGGCTTTTGATGGACACACACTTTACATGTTACATGCTATACCCATATTACACCATGTTTCTGTGACAATAGGCAAGGGCACCTCTTCCCCGAAGTGCTGCTATCCAATTTAAAATCGGTGAAGCTGTACGGGTCTCTGAGTTCACTGTTGTAGGTGGCTTGTAGTTCTCAATGGACTGAGTGCAGCTCTTTGCTTGCTGTTATCTGGCCCTTGGGGCAATATTTAATCCTCTATCTCCAACAATGAGACAAATTTAATCCCCCGACACCGACTGGGCACAGTTCCTCCCACCCAAGGACCTCAAACAAAGGGGCACAGTTCCTCCCACCCAAGGACCCCAAACGAAGGGGCACAGTTCCTCCCACCCAAGGACCCCAAACGAAGGGGCACAGTTCCGCCCTCCCACGGACAACAAGGGGGCTCAATTCCTCAGTGACACCAAAGATGGGGCATGGTTTACTCCCACTGATGTTGGGGCCTTTTCTACTTCCTATAACCACAGTCTGGGCCCCCCATAAAGCCTGAAGGACCGTAAAATGGCCCTTTTTGTTTAAAAATTTTGGAGACCCCTGATCTAGGTGAACCCAGAATACAGCGCTTGTATAATAACCTATCCATACCTAATCCTTTCAGAGTTATGTCAGACTGATCAGTTCAATATTTATTTTGTTTTTGTAATTAAACTAATTTTGGCGCCTGGGTCAGCAGAATAAACTCTAAAGGTAACAGACGGAAATATCACAAGCTTTGTCAGATGTGTTTAGAATACATTGTTAAATTGATTTGGTCTAATATAAACAGACAGCACATCTGCTTAATTGCTTGGTCACCGTGCGCATTTTTTAGATCGCTTCCTACACTTTTTTTCCCAAGTCAACTTTAGCAGTGTTTAGTTTGTGGTTCGTTGGATTTTGAATCTGTTGTTGGACTCTACATTGTTTAATGGAAGTTACAAACTGTGTTGGTTTTTTTTTTTTTTTTTTTTTATTTCTGCAGATGTCCCTGGGTGTCAGTCAATGTACAGAAACCTGGAGGGCTACTCAAACATGGATGGTAAGTGTTTTATCTTAAATCGGTGTGCGAGCACAATGTTACTAAGGGAGAAAGGTGAAGGAATGTCAGCATACTCCTGGACTTTAATCTGGGACTTCTGCTTGTTCCATGTTCCTTTTGTCTGCCATGTCTTTCAGCTTTCTCTTTTTCCTTAATGTGTGTTCCTCTGCACTGGACCCTTCTAATAAAGCTCTGTACTTTACAGTTGTCATATAGTGTTACCTCCTGGCACACAAGCCTGTGTTTCCAGGATGTCTGGAATAATGCAACTAACATTTGAATTAAGTGCTGTAAAACCGGTTCACAGATGTCTTGGTTAAAAATCTTCCATGCTTTTTTCACACTTTGGGGGGGAAAGAACAAAGAGTGGTGTAAGTGCTGCGTTTGCACCAATCTTCTAAACATAAAAAAATGCAGCAGAATTTTCCCTAAACAAAAAGGACACAAGCCCCCTTGGTAATTAGTAACGATCAGTCCTTTGTTATGCCATGCCTGTTACAGACAGCACCAAGAACATTGGAGCTGCATGCTCAGAGTTTGAGGAGGGCAGGAAAGTTGTTATCCCTGCAGACTCTGCTCGTGTAGTATGATCACTGCACGAGCAGAGAAAATGGGAGCAGTTTTGTGGCAGCTCACATCTTGTACAACAAGGTTGCATCTGGTGGGAGTCTGTGGCAGTTTTCCAAATGGGAAAATTGCCACTGATAATTGGGGGCAGACCTGCACTAGTTTGCCACTCTGAAAACTGGCGTCGGTGGCACAGGTAGCCTGAAGCAGGTCCAATCTTTGTTAATGTGGCACACGTCACTCTCTGATGGTTTCCTGCAGTAGGAGTAGGAAGCTTTTGTTAATTCCCTGGTTAGGGTCTATTTTCCTACTTTAAAGCTGAACTCCAGGAATTGGACAAAATCAACCCTTGCAGAGGGGCCCCTTAATTTTGCTTAGTCTAGGGGTGTATGTTAAGGTGTATTACATACCCTATGTATAGTGCAGGGCCTATTAAGACTACATTTTATGTGAAGGAGTCAAGCATGCAACTTAGAGAAGAATCGGTGAAGGAACCCTGCTGGAGCCAGGAGTAAGGCAAATATTACTTTCATTACTGCACCCTTATTACTTTCATTACTGCACCCTTAGACTAAGTGAGAATTTTGCATTCTAGAGGGTGTACTGCAAGGGTAGATTTTGTATTGAATTGCTCCCTGAGTTTAGGTTTAACTGTTAGAAGGTATTTGTTACCTCCAACTTTATTTGACGACTTGCACTTATTATTTTATTAACTATGAATGTGAGTTTGGGACCTTGGATTTTACGATCCTTAAGGGCAGGGATATTGTATATTTGCAATATATATGTAAAGTGCTGCAAAAAATTTTTAACTATTGGTAGTTCTAGTGCATCAACAATTTTTGCAGCACTTTACATATATATTGCAAATATACAATATCCCTGCCCTTAAGGATTGTAAAATCCAAGGTCCCAAACTCACATTCATAGATACACATATTGGGGACAATTTAAACAGAGCCAATTAACATACCAGCATGTCTTTGGAGTGTGGGAGGAAACCCATGCAGGCACAAAGAGAACATGCTAACTCCATGCAGGTAGTGTCATTGGGATCCAAAGCGTTGACCCCAGTACTGCCAGGTGTCAGTCCTAACAGCTATGATCCTGTGCTGCCCACTTATTAAAACCATAATGATTAAAGCTGAACTACAGGCTGAAAAAAACAAGTTCTTGAATTTTTGTTAATTTTATATTTTTTTAAAATGAGTTTTTAAAAGCTATTGGTGCAAGCAACTGAAATTGATTTTATATCAACCTCTTGAAATTCCATGTACAGCAAAGCTCCGACTGGGAGAGGGAGAAACAGAAACATGAGCCAACCTGTTGTATTGTAGTTCTACCAAGGAAAATGGTGGTAGGAGGAAAGAGCAGTGGTAGAGATGAGCTTGTCAAGCAGCTGCTTCTGTCCAGTCGCATGCTGGGGCAAGGGCAAGAACGTATTGTATTTTACTTTTTTGTTTGCCTGGAGTTCAGTTTCCAAGAGTATTGGAATTGCACCTTTTTGCAATAAAGCATGAACATTATTAAAGAAGCCTAACTCACGAGAGCTGCCAAAAATCCATTTGACTCTACTGCGTTGGATGGTGGCAAAGAGACTAGGAATCTGTTTGGCTCAAATTTTATGCCAAGTTGGAATGCCATTCCTTATCCCAGTAATGGTGACTGATTGGTAATGATTTGTAATGTTTTTCCTCACACACGTTTTATAACACAATGAGTTTGATATACTAAAATAGTTGAGAATCTTCACATAATAAATTGTGTAAATATCCACTTTAATTATTGACTTGAATATTCATACAATTTATTGGGTGAAGATGTTCAACTCCTTTAGTGCATCAGCCTAATTGTCTTACCTTCTAGTTTCAATAAGGTTTTTCCTCTCTTGCAGGCTATGGCTATGAGAAACCAATGAGACCTTTCACCGATGATGCCTGTGTTGTGCCAGAAAAGTTTGAAGGTAAGATTTTGGCTGCCTGCTTAAGGTACAAGGTTCTACATTTGGATTCCTTTGTAAAATTTTTAAGAGCCCTTTCAGATGAGTGACTGGAGGAAGGTAAAAACAGGTCGCTGAGTTGCGGTTTTGCTGATCCCTGGCTGCCCACCAAAATTGTTACAATACAGCCAGACAGGACTGTACACATGCAGCGGCTTTTTTTTGCGGTAGTGGCATTTTTTGTAACTCTGGGTGCACAGTCTGTGCACAGTCTTGGCCCATCCCCAGTAGCTGTTTTATGTACGTACATATTTTTTTTTCTTTGTGCACATTGTATATTACACAGCTAATGTCTATCCATTCAATGTAGATAAAGATGGGGCAGTTGATTCGGACCAATGATGGGACCTGAACTTTTTACCTTTTTCAGACCTACTTTGAGTCATCCTGAAATAACAGTCTGGCACACAAGCACTTATTTATCAAGAGACAGTTTTTGTATGCTTATGTAATCATTTTAGAAAACAGTGCTGGTTAAGTATTGGCCACAATGTCTAATTTGAGCCCATGTTGGATTTGCAGCAGGTGATATCAAACAGGAAGTTGGAACCTACAGAGATGGCCCACCATACCAAAGAAGAGGATCCTTACAGTTATGGCAATTCCTGGTGGCTCTTCTGGATGATCCTTCCAACTCCCACTTCATTGCCTGGACTGGCAGAGGCATGGAATTTAAATTGATTGAGCCAGAAGAGGTGTGTTTTTAGTATCTACTTTCCTCCTAATGTACATCTTAGGCCAAAACATTTCGATGAGCATGTCTTCATACAGTAGAAAGGTATAGGATAGTACTCCTGTTGGGATCCAATTCTTTAGTATTTTTTTTTTTTTTAAATTTTCATAGCGCTATTAATTTAACTTTTGCATTCAACACATGAAAAAACATGACTAGGGTATAGAATATATTTTGACCAAGCTGCCTGACCACCACTCCACTAACCACTACAGTAAATTGACCAGACATGACACCAACTGGAGTTTAATGGCCATAGCAGTCTTTTATTAACCAAATATAAACATGTCAACAGACCGTATTCAAGGGGCCCCAAGGTCCTTGTGGGCATGTACGTCAAGTACCTGCGCAAACTACCATTTTAGGCCTGCAGCCATAGAAACACAGACTGAGACAAACCAATATTGCAGGTACCACCAGCCGGTACATTGGGAGCCATACCCAAGACGATTCCATGCAAATGTACCTTTTTTGGCCCCTAATCATAATATTTCCAGGGACCTTGTGCCCGCCAGCTGTTATGACAGAATTGCACACAAACCCCATGATCTACAAAAAGAAACCAAACAATAAAAAAAAAAACAACCCTAGCTCTAAGGGGGGAGGAGGAGATTGAAGCAAGGCATTGAAGTTATTGTGTGGGGGGGGGCGTTTTGGCATTGAAGTCAATGGGGGGGCAGAGGGCATATAGCATTAAAATTAACGGGGGGGGGAGGTGGTTGGCTTTGAAGTCAATGGGAGGGTGCGTTTTGGCATTAATCAGTGGGGGGGGGTGCTTTTTGGCATTAGTCAATGGGGGGTGCGTTTCAGCATTAAAGTCAATTGGGGGGGGGGGGGGGGCACGGTTTGGCATTAGTCAATTGGGGGGGGGGGGGGGGGATTTTGCATTAAAATCAATTGGGCGGGCATTTTGCATTTATATGTCCATTGGGGGAGCAATTTTGCATTAAAATCATTGAAGTGCCCTGTGTTTGTGCCAGTGTTGCCAACCCTTGGTGAGTTTTACTGACAAAATAGGAAAAAACTGACAGAGCACATTTTTTGCTGAAAAAATGACAGAACTCCTAATAAAAACGGAGATGCTTGATATTTTCAAACAATATAAACACAATATGTAAAAAATAGCGATACCCATAACAAGTATACACTTAGTCAATATGACATGACAAAATCAGCCCCAATGGGATATAGTTGAAAAACAAGTTCTGCTATGCATGCTGCAGGGAGATGGTCAGAGGCCGCAGACATGCTGCAGGGAGATGGTCAGAGGCCGCAGACATGCTGCAGGGAGATGGTCAGAGGCCGCAGACATGCTGCAGGGAGATGGTCAGAGGCCGCAGACATGCTGCAGGGAGATGGTCAGAGGCCGCAGACATGCTGCAGGGAGATGGTCAGAGGCCGCAGACATGCTGCAGGGAGATGGTCATGCTTTAAGTGTGTCCTAGGAGTGACTGGTGTGGAAAAACATTGAAAACTGCACAATGTGTAAACAGGGCCCTACAAGATATAACCGTGTCAAAAAAGCACAGCAGTTCCAATTTCTACTTTTACGAATAGTCCATTGCTCAAGCACAGGAGGACAGTAAATGGTGAAGCTCCCAGCCTGCCTAGCCTAAATCCTGCAAAGGTAACATAAAAGGAAAAGGTCAAACAAATCACGGAGAGCTCACACAGGAATCTGGCACAAATAGCTCTATAGAAACAACTGAAAGATCGTCACAAACATGTCACTCACACTCAAATGCCGGCTGCAGCGTCTTCCAGAAGTCTAATCCTCATCCGTGCCTTCACTCATCTGTCTGAGCAGTGTAAATGATAACAAAGATGAGCAGTGTGAGAAGACCAAGGGGAAGTCATTCCATGATCTGTCCCTAATCTGTTTACTGCACACAGGATGGGAGAACACACTGATGATTATTAGACTTCTGCAGGCGGCATTACATGTTCGTGATGTTGGTGGCGATCTTCAGCTGTTTCTATAGTGCTATATGGGTAGAACGCTGTGTGCTAGAAGAATGTATGACCACATTTAGATCAAACACATCAAAGAGCCTATACTCAAGTATGTTGGATCCTTTCCAACCCGCCACCATTAGGCCCCCCTCTGGCTGCAAGCATCTTCTGGTCAAATGTGGTTGGCTGGGTAAGGGGCAGGTTACAGAGGTATGCTGACTGGCTAAGTAGGTGGCGGGAGGTGGAACCTATCAGCAGTCACTCCCTCCCACACAGATGAGCAGCACTATTTGTTGGTAACACTGGTCTGTGCCTTGCCCTCCAGCAGCTGAAAGCCAGCGGGAGGGAAAGGGGGAGAAACCGTCTTTCAGCTGCTGCAAAGAGCCACATGGGGCCATTCTACAATTGGTACCAAATACCACCACTATTCCAATTTCAATTCAAATGGGATTTGTCAAGCTTTGGTATAAACCAAGATTTCTAGGATTTTCCTTTTTTATTAGATGATGATCCACCATGATTTCCAACATTTCTCTAGAGTATGACCTGTAATTATCAAATCAGGGGTTAATATCCTTGTCTGTTTTTATATCTTGGAGGTCCTATCTGAAAGTCTTTTTGTTTCTGTTGTGGCTTAGCATATCTCTTAAAGTGGAGGTCCAGGCTAGAACTAGGCTTATAACCACTGCCACCCACCTTCTAACATTTTATATTACCTACCCTGTAGAAGGAAGATGCCTATATTGACCTATTCGCATAACGCAGTATGCAGACCAGGAAGATAATATACCCAAGTCTTAAGTCCTTATCAGCAGGGCCTTTGTTTTGAAGCCAGGTCAGCAGGACATGCAGCTAAATATGATGACACGAATGACCATGTTTTCTCATGACCTCCTGACAACTTTTCTTTAGTTCCAGACTTTCTACAAATGTAGCATTTTCTATCTATCCTAATATAGTGTAGGTTTATTTTTGTGGAGGACAAAAACTGTTTGGATAGACATATTGGTAATAAACTGGACTTTATTATTTCATTAAAATAAAAAAAAATCTTTCCTTCATCTGCCTTTTGGGTTCAGATTTCTGATGTATGCATTGCGAACTATATTTACAGTATGGATAGCTGACTCACATCTTGCACTCGTCTTCACAATATATTAACTAACCTGCGCGACTCCACCTTGTCCAACTCACTTCACACACATTGGATGCATTTTTTGTTCTTTTACATATGTCACAGCTGGGTGAGCTTGTATAGCATCAAGAAGGGCAAAGTGTATTTTTTGCCTACAGGCATGTTAGCCCTTTCAAACTTAAAATCAGAGAAGGACAAAACATAGTTTCTATAAGGTTAACCTGTTAGCACCTCCTTCCTTTTGACAGTCTGTTTTGACGCTGATATATTTTTGTAGGTCGCCAGACTCTGGGGCATGCAGAAAAACCGGCCAGCAATGAATTACGACAAGTTGAGCCGGTCTCTCCGTTACTATTATGAAAAAGGAATTATGCAAAAAGTAAGTGAATTCATGTTTTATGTATATTTACCAATCCAGGATGGTTGTGCATCTAATTCATTGAAAAGGAAGCAAAATACATAAATATTCCATTATAAGCAAAAATTTCAGGCAAAGTTACAAACTCCCATTGTCCAGGCAGGAACATGCATCCGAATATACATCACTTCAATACATATAGAACATAAATTAGGAACCAATTATATAATTATGTGAAATTCAATACACATGATCATTATAATTACACAATGAATGTCAAGCTGATGGTTAGGAATATATGGAGGATGTTCTGTGAGGAATGAATACATGTATCCTCTTTTTTGTTTTTGTTTTTTTGGATATTTATAAAAATGTATTCACTGGCATGCAATAAAACCTTAATACTGCACTCAAGTCTTGAATGGTATAATGTGTGCTATTTGAGCTCTGAATTTCAAGGAAATTCATGGAAGGGGGTTGTGTTTTCTACTATGGCTTACTATTGCAATACTATTGCTAGAAATTTAATCTTTAAAGCAGAAGTAATTTTAATAGTCAAGAAAATGGAAAATTGTATCAAATACTTACTGTAATTTTCCTTTCCTAGCACCAATCCATTGCAGCATGTATGTGGTCATATGCTACCATGATGGGCAGGAAAGATTTATATCTATTGGCCTCAAAAAGAAGATAATATATTTAAAAAGTCTTTCACAAGCTAAATCTGTAGGCAACCATTATTGAAAATGCAAGCTTATTGATCATCAACACTGTTGAGTCTTTAATCTGGAGCAAGTATACAGCAAGTGAAGTCTCAACTGATACGGGACTAAAAACACTGAACAAAAGAATCTGTATGGCAACCCAGAATTTTTAGAATAAGGTGTCAGTAATGGCAGCCTACAGTTCCTAGCAAGATTCTTTTAAAGCCTGCCCAGTAAGGCAGTGCCCAGAGCAGTTGTAATTGGCGAGTTCAATAAGCCATGGCAATCAATCAGATTTCACTTTTTAATAGTGACACCTGAATACTTGTGGTTTTTTGTTTTTTTTTTTTTGTTTTTTTTTGTCTTGACTTACAAATTGCCCATGTCTAGCCAGTGACAACTGTAGATTTTGGCAGGCTTTTATAGTGATACTAAACGCACAATGTTTAATTTCCATTTTCCTTTCTATTTCTATATGTGGTTGATGGCACTATAATAATTTTAGGGGGGAAAAAAAACTATTTTTTTTCCCCCTAATCTTTCACTGCTGTCACATGACCCAGCTCTTTCCCAGCCTGTCTGCAGGGAAACTGTGGCAGAAGGAGCTTTGGAATACGGAGTAAAATAATATCAATAAACTGTTTGGCAATATAGTGTATATTTGTATGAGGATTGTAAACGTATTGGGATGCCTGCCTTTACACACACACACAAACTTTGATGTCATCCCAGTCTTATTCTGTAGGGTTTAAAATTGAGTTGGCCCCACCCTTTGCAGCTATAACTGCTTCAGCTCTTCTGCAAAGGCTGTCCACAAGGTTTAGGAGTGTGTCTATGGGAATGTTTGACCATTCTTCCAGAAGTGCATTTGTGAGGTCAGGCACTGATGTCGGATTAGAATGCCTGGCTCGCAATCTCTGCTCTAATTCATCCCAAAGGTGTTATATTGGTTGAGGTCAGGACTCTGTGCAGGCCAGTGAAGTTCCTCCACCCCAAACTCGCTCATCCATGTCTTTTATTGACCTTGCTTTGTGCACTGGTACGCAGTCATGTTGAAACAGGAAGGGGCCATCCCCAAACTGTTCCCACAAAGTTGGGAGCATGAAATTGTCCAAAATGTCTTGGTATGCTGACGCCTTAAGAGTTCCTTTCACTGGAACTAAGGGGCCAAGCCCAACCCCTGAAAAACAACCCCACACCATAATCCCCCCTCCACCAAGTTTAGCACTTTGCACAATGCAGTCAGACAAGTACTGTTCTCCTGGCAACCGCCAAACCCAGACACATCTATTGGATTGCCAGACAGAGAAGCATGATTTGTCACTCCAGACAACACGTCTCCACTGCTCTAGAGTCCAGTGCTGGTGTGCTTTACACCACTGCATCCAACGCTTTGGGTTGCTCTTGTAAGTCTTTGATGTAGCTGTTCAGCCATGGAAACCCATTCCATGAAGCTCTCTTCGCACTGTTGTGCTAATCTGAAGGCCACACAAAGTTTAGAGGTCTTTAGCTATTGACTCTGCAGACAGTTGGTGACTTCGCACTGTGCGCTTCAGCATGCGCTGACCCCACTGTCATTTTACATGGCCTACCACTTGGTGGCTGAGTTGCTGCTGTTCTCAGTTGCTTCCACTTTGTTATAATACCACTAACAGTTGGCCGTGAAATATTTAGTAACAAGGATATGTCACGAATGCACATATTGCACAGGTGGCAACCTATCCACGGGACCACGCTTGAATTCACTGAGCTCCTGGGAGCAACCCATTTCTTTCACAAATGTTTGTAGACGCAGTCTGCATGCCTAGGTGCTTGAGTTTATACACCTGTGGCCATGGAGGTGATTAGAACACCCGAATCCAATGATGTGGAGAGGTGTCCCAATACTTTTGGCAATATAATTTATATTTGCAATAAAATCTTTTTTAGGCAATAACATGGTGTGGGCAGATGTCTGCCAGTCGCAGGCTGTGTCATACCCTTCCAGCCTGTTTCTTAGAACAGGGAGGTGAAGCCTCGATCAATCAAGATGTAAATATCCCACCCCCATTGTGTTTAGCTGGCTGTTGGGCATGGAGGAGGAAAGGGAGTGGGCTGCCATTTTCCACTGTGTATACACACACGTGTGACTCTAGTCACATGGGCTGCTCAGATGTGATAGGGTGAAATTGCTCAGCATGGAAACTCAATGAAAACTGAGCATGTGCAGCAGCTGTCAACACTGCTCTACAAAATGGGGGGGAAGGGGCAACTGGTTTTGACAGGTACCTGCTCCCAATCCTGGCTCAGTTCGTCACAAACTGAGCCAGAAGTTGCGCCCCCCCCTTGGAGTCTTCTGGGACACTTCAGAGGTCCTAGAACACTACAGGACCAATCTCAAGGCGTAGCTTAAATCGCTCATGCGCAGCTGGAAATCGACTATGAATCTTCAAGGTTTCACTTCGTTTCCCTCTCTTGCAATGCCAGTGCCCAGAACCCATAGGCTAGTGAAGAACTAACCCAGTTGAGGACAGAGCTGAACCACTGGACAGGCAAGTGTCCTTATATTAAAGTCAGCAGCTACAGTATATGCTGACTTTTTTTTAAATTTTTTTTGGGGGGGGGAGCCTGGAACTCCTCTTTAATGACACATTGAGTGATAAGTTCCGTATTGGATATTTAAAAGATAATAACTATACAAATCTTCCCTCTACAGGTGGCCGGTGAGCGTTACGTCTACAAGTTTGTGTGTGAACCCGAAGCTCTGTTTTCTCTGGCTTTTCCTGACAATCAACGTCCTGCCTTAAAGTCTGAGTTTGACCGACAGATCAGTGAAGAAGAAGAAACAGTCCCTTTGTCACACTTGGATGAAGGAGCCATGTATCTTCAAGACGTAGGGACCGTCCCTTCCCAAAATTACAAAGGTGGCTACAATTACTAGACTCGGCCACCATGTAATCGTGTATATATGGGTACATTTCGTTAGCATTCATATGAGTGTAGATGCTTGTTTGTTTTTATCGTTTTTCTTGCAAGAACCTGTTTAACAAATTGGACTTTAGTTGGTAGTGCAAAAGACTACCCGCTGTAGTGTTTTAAGACCCAGGTTGTATTTGGGCGTTTGTAACATGGGCTTTTCAAGAAACACTCCTTGGCTGTGGTGCATTTGAGCATCAGGTTTTAGACTTCTTGACGCAGCTAAGCTTTTGAATGGTTGATTGTTTCAGGGAATGCATGTTCTCCAGCATCAAGCATTGAAGACTAATTCTTTCCTTCAGACTTCATTTTATTTTAATTTTTAAAAAACTTTTCAGTGGCATTTTTTGTAGGAAAGGATTTTGTTGAGTTAATTTCAACAAAAAGTTCAGTGCAATAATCTTTGAATCTAACAACGCTGTTTCCTGCCTTTTTCAAATTAAATCTGTTTGAAGGACATTTGATTTTCCTAGTTTCCGGTGTTTTGTTTTTTATGACTTTGTGAGTATTTGTCTTTTGTTACCTTGTGTCTATTAGGCAGGAGCACATGGGTGATTTTTAGTTCTTTAGTCCTGCTACTAAACTTTCTAGTAATATAATTGCAAAAAGGGTGATTGCTACACAGATTAAAAGAATGAAAGGACTTGTGAATAAATGTTCTCAAGCAGTGCTGGGACAAGGTCATCCAGTGCCCAGGGTGAAGATGCCAAACTCCTCCCTCCAAAAAAAATTCTAGCATTAATCTTCACACTTAAGCCTGAAGTATATATACTCTTTGCAAGCCATGCCCCCCACCCAGTATATATCCCCCCTCGTGGCTCAAATCCTCTCCCTCCTAGCACAGTCCTCTACCCCTCAATTTTCCCCTCCCCTCAACTCCTTCCTCCTAGCACAATCCTCTGCCCTTCAAATTTCTCCTCTCCTTAACTCCCTCCTAGCACAATCCTTTACCCTCAAATTTCTCCTCTCCTCAACTCCCTCCTCCTAGCATAATCCTCTACTCCAATTTCCCCTCTCCTCAACTCCCTCCTCCTATGACAATCCTCTGCCCCTCAAATTTCCCCTCTCCTCAACTCCCTCCTCCTATGATAATCCTCTGCCCCTCAAATTTCCTCTCTCCTCAGCTCCCTCCTCCTAGCACAATCCTCTACCCCTCAAATTTCCCCTCTCCTCAACTCCCCCCTCTTAGCACAATCCTCTACCCCTCAAATTTCCGCTCCAAGTATAAATTATCTCCCCCCTCCAAGTCCTCCCCTCCTAGCACAAATCCCTCCAATCATCCCTGCTAGCACAAATCATCCCCCCAAATCCCCCTTCTTAACAGAAATCCATTCTCCTAGTACCCCTCCAAAATCGCCCATTCTAGCACAATACCCCAAAATCCCCATGTCACCTAGGTCAGCCACCCCTACAGCTCCCAAGGTCTGGATCTTATACTTTGCACACGTTCACACAATGAAGGTCTGAATTAATCCCTAATGACCTTTTTGTAGCGTGACTGGGTTACTAAAAATCACAAGTATACCCCTGTACCAAAATAGCCTTGGCATGAATGATCTATATTTAAATTCATATTCTGGTACAAGGGCAAAATGCTGCTCACATAAATGCAGCATCAAACATTGCATAGAAACAGGTTGTAAAACTGTATACAATCATTAACGTTTCACAGTATTCAAAAAAGTTGAAGCTAAACTCAGGCAGATCTAAAAGACAAGTATGTGCTACTGTGTGCTTTCATACATCCTTAAAGCTGAACTCCCAGGAAGATAGAACACACATTTAATCTATTAAATGAAACAGAGTTGTTTTATTTAAATTTGGTCTTGGTATCCTCCTCTTGCAATCCCTGTAGTGTAGGGTAGAGACTGGGAGAGTGAGAAGCATCGCAAGGAGAAAATGCGTTATGTTGCAGTACTCATGTGCTAACCAGGAACATGGTGATAGTAGGAGAGAGCAGAGTGTCCAAGACTAATCGATCTGCTGATTCTCCTTTCACTATCCAGTCACAGGCTGGGATCAGGAACAAAACTCAGAAATGTGCTTAATCAGCTTCTTCCCCAGTCAGAGTGACCATGGTTTACTGATTCTGAACTTGGAAGTACTCAGCTGAGCACTTCTGGGTTCACATATCACAGGCGAGATAAGCGAACAGGTGTACACATGATTGGACGACTTTAAAATCACTTGTACAAGAAGTCCGGCAGGCTGCAGAGAAAAGGTACACACGCTCCTTATTGGTCAGAAAATTTTTACATGCTGTTGTCAACCTAATAGTTGCATCAGAGCCACTGAACAAGTTCCAAAAAAAATAAACCCCCTCATATGGGCAGGCAGTTACTTGAGAGCAGCAAGATCAATGAACTACAAAAGTACAAACTAGCACCCTCATAGTTCACTGAGAACTACAACCTGTCAGTCGCAATGCCTGGCAGTACTTGTAGCCTATCCATTTACTGGCTGATATGACCATGTGGGCAGAGCCCTTCACAGCCACACTGTTTTCAAATTCTGACAGTGGGTGTGGGGGAGAGTATTCCCCATCTGCTGTCACAGGGAAGGGGGTATTTGGGGAGGGAAGGTGCAGCTGCTGGAACATGTTACATGTTTTACCCTAAAACAGGTGGCGCATGTAACATGTTTCAAAGGTCAACTTATCCTTTAAACGCAAAAATATTTGTATCTAAACCCAAGAGCAAAATGAAATAGATTCTAATATATTTGGACACAGGTACAATTTTAGTTTTGCTTCAGGTATTTACCAAAACATATTCAGGCTATTTATATAATGGATATGGGCTGAAAGTGCACACTCGGGTTTAATTTCGGGGCATGTACATCCAAATTGGAGGAAGGGTTTAGGAATTACAGCTCTTAAGAGTAGCCATCCCCCTTTTTTCAAGGGACCAAAAGTAATTGGACAATTGAATAAAAAGCTGTTTCATGGCCAGGTGTGGGCTACTCCATTATTTCTTCATCAGTTAAGCAGGTAAAAGGTCTGGGGTTAATTCCAAGTGTGGTATTTGCATTTGGAATTTATTGCTGTGAACCTACATGATGCATTCAAAGGAACTGTCCATGCAAGTGAAACAGGCCATTGTAAGGCTTCAAAAACAAAACAAATGCATCATAGAATAGCAGCCACATTGGGAGTGATCAAATCAAGAGTTTGGTACATTGAGGAAAGAAGAATGCACTGGTGAGCTCAGCAACATAAAAAGGTATGGACGTCCATGGAAGACAGCAGTGGTGGATGATGGCAGGATCCTCCTATATGGTAAAGAAAAACCCATTCACAACATCCAGACAAGTGAAGGACACTCTCCAGGAGGTGGGGCTTATCATTGTCAAAGTCTACAATCAAGGTTAGACTTCAGGAGAGCAAATACAGAAGGTTCACCACAAGGTGCAAACCATACATAAGCCTGAAGAATAGAAAAGCCAGATTGGAAAAGACCAGTTCTGGAAAAGCATTCTTTGGATGGATGAAACTAAGATTAATCTGTACCAGAATTACGGGAAGAAAAAAAAGTGTGGAGAAGGCTTGGAACAGCTTATGATTCAAAGCACACAACATCATCTGTAAAATATGGTGGAGGCAGTGTGATGGCATGGACATGCATGGCTTCCACTGGCACTGGGTCATTGGTGCTTATTAATGATTTTACAGAAGCAGCCAGATAAAGTCTGCAGTGTTTAGAGATATACAGTCAGCCCAGATTCAGCCAAATGCAGCAAAGTTGATTGGATCCAAAACACACTGCAAAAGCAACCCAGAAGCTTTTGAAGGAAAAGTAGAATATTCTGCAATGGCAAGTCAATCACCTGATCTCAACCTAATTGAGCATGCACTTCACTGCTAAAGGAAAAACTAAAGGCAGAAAGACCCACAAACAAAGAACAACTGAAGACAGCTGCAGTTAGAGCCTGGCAAAGCATCGGAAAGGAGGAAACCCAGTCTTTGCCAGGAGTCTGGAACCCATGGACATTACCAGTCATTGCCAGTAAAGGATTCTCAAGAAAATATTAAAAATTATTATACAGTATTTATAAAGCGCCAACAGTTCGCTCAGCGCTGTACACTACAAAGGGAGACAGAACATGCGACAGTTCGAAAACAATACAATGTGATACACGAGGGGTTCGAGGGCCCTGCTCTTTCGAGCTTACAAATTAACATTTTATTAGAACGATTCATTATTTCAAAGAGTACTGAGCGACATGCTGTTCATATATGTTCATGTTTTTCTTGACCTTGCTTATTTCTGAGCTGCTGATAGACCTGTCACTGTGATGTTTATACACAATGTATTCCTGTTGGAATTGTGTAACGTTTTAAAATTTGGGTTTCAGCCCTTAATAAAAATTTATAATATTAAAAAAGTTAACATTTCATTTATGATTATATTAATTTTGTCCAATTACATTTGAGCCCCTGAAAAATGGAGGGACTGTGTATACAAAATGGTTGCAGTTCCTAAAATGCCTAAATAAAGTTCCTAAAATGTGCTCTTGATATTTATGTTCAACCCCTTGAATTAAAGCTGAAAGTCTGCACTTTTTAATTCATTTGGATTCTTTTGTTTTAATTAATTCTGATGGCATACAGAGCCAAAAGTATGAAAATTGCGCCCATGTCCAAATATATATGGACCCAATTGTATATGGCGGCTTACCAGTGGTAGCTGCAGTACTTTTTTATTTTTAGGTTTTGAGGTTTTTTTTTTTCACCTGCTGACCCTGGCCAGTAAAATGCCTCCTGTATTAGGGTAGATACCTTGTTGATGAAGCCTGTGATGGTCCTGTAGCATTGGGTGCAACTGCATGCATTTTGCAAAGGTAATGGGTTCTAATGAGATGGAAATTCGGCTGTGATAGTGATAATAATGAGAAATTGTAACTACCCTGAAATGTATTGGGGTAATAGCACTGCTGGAACAGTTAAAGGGCGGAAATGTAAAAACC